ACGCTCTCCCTCCTCACACCTACCTCCTGGATGCCCTCCCAAACCGCACGGTATCATCTCCTATCCCCTTTCTTGCTCCTTTTATGTTGTTTGTTCTTGTTGTCTCGCTGTTGGGGCTTATGAATTTAGTGGTTCTTGTGTTGGATGTGGTGATTGTGGATGTGAGTGGTACTTCTTTTGGCTGTTTTCAAGGTGTTGGTGGTTCTTGTGGTGTGGCTGGTTTTTGTGCTGGTTATGGTGTGTGGTGGGTGGTTGTTGTGGTGGCTATAGCAGTGGACTTGATTCTGTTTATGGTTAATAGAATTGTGTTGCTCGTGTTATGGTGTGGGAGGTTCTTGTGTTGGCTGTGGGTGTACTTGTGGTTTAGGGTGTGTTGGTTGCTGTTTAGCCTGTGACTGCGGTGTGTAGTGGGTGGTTCTTGTGTTGTCAGTGACAATGATGTTGGTGGCATTTGTGGTTCTGACTGTTGTACTGGTCGTGAATGTGGTGTGAGTGGTTCTTGTGTTGGTTATGACTGTTGTTCTTGTGCTGGTGTGCTAGTGTTTTTCATTTTTTTAACAATCTTGATACTATCTATTAAGTAAGGTGTATATTTGGATTTTTGTAATGTTATGAAGTGAATTTTTGCTTCTGAAGTATTAAATATATAACTATGACAGTTATTTTACAAACAACATTACTACACACGTGCAGAATGATCATTTTTCTAGAAACAATTATCTCATAGCTGCTTTCAAACTGTAAAAAAACAAACAGACAACCAACTTTCCAGCAACAACTTTCCTGCAACAGCTTCTTGGGGTAGCTGCTGCTGCAAACCATTTTATTGGATAACCTGCAGTTGCCCCAAACAAACCCTAAGTGAAAAGCCACTCATTCACCTACTCATTCTCATCTCGGCAACACTTAAATTAGTTTTATGCTTCTCTTTTAAAGGTCAACATTTTGCGCCATAGAGCATTGCAAGTCTCACAACCATTTTATAAAATTTTTCTTTCAGTCCAAGCGGTACTTTTCTATCACACAATAGGCCCGAAACATTCCTATACTTCAACCGACCAACTTGAATTCTATTAATAACATCCCCATCTATATCACCATCACTTTGAACAGTAGACCTGAGATATCTAAAGCGCTCACATCTTTTAATAAATTGATCACCCATAGTTACAATTTTTTCCTTAGACAATTTTTTCCCTAGAGTTCCTACCACTAAAATTACATTTCATGTATTTAGTTTTAGTTCTATTTCAAGTTTTTTTCTGAGTATTCTCTCTTGTCTTATCCATGAGAAGGATATCATTAGCAAAAGGTATACACCAAGGTACATACTCCTGTAAATGTCTAGTAAGAACATCCATAACTAAAGCGAAAAAGATTGGGCTTAAAGTCAATCCCTGATGTAATCCAATAGAAATATGAAAGTATTTGGTTAATCCTTCTTTTGTTTGAACACAAGTAACAACTCTAGTATACATATCTTTAATGACTTGAATATAAGTCATATCAACACCTTTCTTCTCCAAAACTCTTCAATGGATATCTCTTTGAACCTTATCATAAGTTTTTTCTAAATCAATAAAAATCGTATGTAGATCCTCTTTATTATCTCCGAACTTCTCCATCAAACCTCTCAATAAATGTATAGCTCCCATAGTTTATTTGCCTGGCATAAATCCAAATTTATGAGAAATCTTTGTAATATGTCTTAACCTATGCTCAATTACGCTTTCCCATAATTTTAAAGTATGAAATATCAACTTAATTCCTCTATAATTTGCACACTCTTGTGCCCTTTATTCTTAAAAATGGTGACCAAAATACTCTCATCTATATCTGAGTCATTTCTTTAGCTTTTAAAATAATATTTAAGAGTTTAGTAAGCCAATAAACTCCCAAATCTCTTATATATTTCCACACTTCAATTGGAATATCATCAGATCCTACATACTTTCCACCATTGGTTTTTTTTAAAGCCTCATTAATTTTTTTTTACTAATGCAACGGTAAAAACGAAACATTTTATTTTTATTTATGATATTAAGATCTCTAAGGTTGATTGTATATTTTCAAAAACTTCATTATAAAATCTATCAAAATAACTCACCCATCTATTTTGAATATTTTTTTCTTAGAGAAATACTTTTATTTTCATCTTTAATACATTTTATTTTGTGTTAAATCTTTACTTTTCTTTTCTCTTTGTTTGACTAGTTTATACATATGTTTTTCAAACTCCTGAGTATTTAATCTATTATAAATATTACTAAAAGCAGAATTTTTAGCGTCACAGATTGTTCTCTTAGACTCCCTACGAGCCATTTGATATTTTTCCAAATTCTCTAAGCTTTTATGCTTAAATCAATTTTTATAACATAACTTCTTATATATATATATATTTTGCACATTATTATTCCACCACCAACTATTTCTATTTATAAAATTTTTTTCGTTTGATTCTTCGAGTAATTCTTTTGCCACTTGATTAATAGTGTTTGTTGTTTTTTCCCACATAGAATTTGCTGCTTCATGAATATCCCAAATCTTGAAATCTTGAAATTTACACATAAAATTATCTTATTTTTTATTTAGGTACCTCATCAAATTCTATGATAATGATTCATAATATTCTTTATTTTACAACTCATCTTAAAATCTAGAACTAATAATCGATGTTGAGTACTTAAATCCGCTCTAAGAATGACCTTACAAATTTTATATTCTCGACGCTTTTCTTTTTTCTTAAGAAAATAATCAATTTGTGTTTTATTAAATCCATTTTTATAAGTAATAATATGCTCATTCCTTTTTTTGAATAAAATATTAGCAATAACAAAATCATACGTTAAAATAAAATCTAATATGACTCTACCATTTTCATTAATCACTCGAGAACCGTAGCCACGATGAATATTTATAAAATCTTCTATCACTCTATCGATATATCCATTTAAATCTCCTCCAATAAAAATTCATTTCTTCAAGAGGTATCATTTATATTAAGTCTTTTATGTTATCAATCTCCTTAACCTTTTCTCCTACCCATTTAGTTTCTTGAATACATAAGATATTTATCTTTCCATGAATCATAATATAAATTAATTTCATTAA